GACACCGAAGCACCGCCACCGCCTGACCCAAAGATCAGAGTTTCCCCTGGAGCAACATGACGGACAGTGAGAGCCGCGACGACGCCTTCAAGAAGGGAACGAGCTTCGCCGCCGCCGGTCCGTCCAAAGATAGAACAGGTTTTCACCGCGGCCAATATTCACCGTCACCGAACATCACACCCTGGCTACCACGACGCCCACACGGCCATGGCCACCAGGCAGCACCAAGCCACGGGCTTTGCCCAAGATCACCGCAACACCACCACCAGGGCCGCCGCCTCGGCATCCAGGACCTTAATGCCACCTCACCCGCCACCCGCCGCTACCCCAACCAAAGAGACGAGTGGAAAGGAACCGCCTTTCGCACCCCTGGGCTGTCCCAGTGACAAGACCCAATAGGTCGGCCAAAACTGGCCACCATGGACCCGTCCTGCCGCCGGGCACGAGACGATCTCGGTCCTGCTGCCGAGCGTGAGACGAGTCAGATCCTGCTGCCAGGCGCGAGATGAGCTCGGTCCTGCTGCCGGGCGCGAGACGAGTCCGGTCATGCTGCCGGGCGCGAGACGAGCTCGGTCCTGCTGCCGGGCGCGAGACGAGCGATGGGCCGCCACTAGGAGAGGGCCAACCCTCCAATAAAGGTAGCGCCCGAACGACGGGGAGATGAATCAAAGGTCGTCAAGGGTGCTCACCGACAGGCAGACGCCGAAGAAGTCCAGCCGCTGCCGTGAAACAACCCAGACCACCACGATGGGCCACCACCACGCCGTGGCAGCCCACATCCATGCCGGGACCCTGAGGGGCAGCCCCGAGCCAGCGCCACCACCCTCGCCACCAACGGCCGCCGGACGAAGCCCACACCGCCGCCAGCGCCACCACCAGCGCGAACCACCACCACCACCGAGCCGCCGCCACCACCTACCACTGCAGGGCGGCCGCACGTGGCCCAAGCCGTCCATGGCCCGCGCCATCACAGGGTCGAGCATGCGAGCCTGCGGCCACCCGCCCGCCTGGACACGCACCAACCATCGTTGCCGCCACGCCTCCAGCTCCGCGAGACGCGGCCATGGCGGAGCAAGACGCCCGTGACCCAAGCAGCACGCTGCCCCCACCGCACATCAGGCCACCGGAGCCAAATCTGTCAGATCTGGACAGGGCCGGCGCGCGCGTCACCGCTAGAGAATCCGCAGCCGCCGCGCGTCGAAGGGGCCCCAAGCCGCCGCTGCACCACCGCCACCCAGCACGCCTGCCACCGCGCCGCCGGGCCCCGCACAGCCCAGCGCCGTCTTGCGCCGGATGCCAACCGCGAGGAGAGGGGCAAGATCCCCGCCGCCACCAATGCCGGCCGGACTTTGCCCGGCGGCGCTGTGCGGTGGCGGCAGGGGGAGAGGTCGATGAGGGAGGACGAGGGGTGGCGCGCTAGGGTTTCCCCCGAGGACGCTCGCGGGAGCGGCTCGGGGTGTCGGGGGGTTGGGGCGATTGATCCTCTTTCAGGTGCTTATGACCATCCTTTAAACAGAAGAGAAGAGAAGAAAGGAATGACCATCCTTTAAACAGAAGAGAAGAGAAGAAAGGAATGACCATCCTTTAAACAGACTGTAAAACAATGTAATATTGTAGAAATTTGGCCTCCCAAGCTAACCCATTGGAGATTACTCCATTTCTTTACATGGTGAAGAATTTTAAAGTGTGCTCTAGATTGTACTGCATCATACTCCCTCCGTTCAGATTTACTCGTCGTGGTTTTATTTCAAATTTGAATTAAAACCACGATGAGTAAATCGGAACGGAGGGAGTACTAATGACCCGATTGTGTAAAACACTAACTTCAAAATATGGAACATATTCTACCATTTTTTTTGGTTCAGAAAACGCAAAAGCCTGGTGTTTCATTCCATTGAGAAGGTAGAAGAGACACAGTACACACACCCAAACGGGCAGGAAAGAAAACGATTACAGAGCTCAACAAGTTATTATGTAACTATGTTTGTGCCAACATTACAAATTATTACGAGACATGGTATACTGGCAGAAAGCTTCAACCTCTCAATCGTAGAACTGAACAATTTGGCTAGCAACAGAAATAACCTGAAAAAGGAAAACAATCTATTAGGATGGCAAACTTCACCCACAATGATGTTTGAGAATCAATTAGTCTAACCTAGCATCGCATGAAAAATATTGAAAAGAGATTTGTGAGCAGGGGCACAATTCAAAACCTCGTTTATGTCATTATTTGATACGATATAACTGAAAAGATGGGGACACAATGTTGAACAAAATAAAAGGCGCATTGGATCTTGTTTTCCGATACATGAAAATGCCAGCTCCAAATTATGAGGCACCGGCCGTGTTATCACGAGTATCCATCAAAAGAAAAAATAGCCGATTAAATGAAGAACATGCCAGTAGCCAGCAGCATTCCACTAGATAATAGCTTCAGCGTGCAATTATGTCAAGATCCACCACCAAACTATGCCCCTCTTAATTTGTCATTGCTGCCAATAAGTGGAACATGACAATGTGATGGTTCTTCTCGAGGACACCAGACACAATAAAAAAATGTAGCAGACATGAGACGACTTTAGTGTTTTGATCTCTATGCTTCTGGCAGATCTCAAGGCACAGCAGACAGCATCTGGGAGATCTACCACTCAGATGCTACAATACAGCTGTAAACATACCTTCTGTATAAATAGGCGTCAGCAGAATGGTAGAAACATCAAGCTATAAGCTCTTCTTTTCTGCTCCTCTCCTCGACCACAAAATAGAGAAAAGCTTCAAGATCAGACATGGCTTTCCACCTAAGATCGATAAGTTTGCCTTCTAGGCCTCACCCCACCGAGACCGAGATTGAAGAACAGATGTTGAGCCTAGAGGCAAGCATCTGTTCCTCCACGACCATCGTCATGATGTGCGAGGGTCTGAGGAGGCTTGGAGACATCTATAATGGCGTCGAAGAGATCATCTGCCTTCCAAGCAGCCAAGTCTGTGCCTACCAGCAGAGGACGGTGTTGGATGAAGAAATGGACGGTTCTCTCGAGCTGCTAGATCTATGTGGCACCATGCAAGAGATCTTCGCCGAGATGAAGGCCATCATCCAAGAGCTGCAACTGTCTCTAAGGAAAGGGGATGATGCGGCTGCTCAAGCCAGTATCCAATCTTACACCCACTTGGCGAAGAAGGCCAAGAATCATTTCAAGAAGACCACGAAGTAGATTTCGGCAGATTGCGGGATGGTCATGCTCTTGGCCAAGGCCAGAGAGATCTCTGTCTCTCTGCTGGAGTCCACACTCCATCTCTTGTCGAAGCAAATTGAAATGCCTAAACAGTCTCTTGTTTCCAAGGCATTTCACAAAAAGAAGTCAGTTGTTTGCAAGGAGGAGCAATTGTTGGGGTTAGAGTGCAGTATCGGAGATCTTGAGAGCGGAGCAGGACATCTGTTCAGGAAATTAGTCCAGAGCAGAGTTTCTCTACTCAACATCCTTAGCTCATAGATACTTCCAGGACACTCTTGACACCCTTCGATTGGCATCTGCCTTTTAAGGAATAGCTGATCTTCATACAATTTTCCCCTATGTATATATACACTATACAGTAGAAATGCACATGATACTATAGCAAGAGAAACAAAAGTTTTGATCCATTTGACCATTTCATACTTGAAGATGTGCTTGTGATCCCAGTATACTTAATTTTGATAACCTTGGTTAGTGGATCTTGTCCCTTATGCATGAAACAAGCCAGATCAAAGTCACACGGTCCCTACTTGTATTAGTTTGCAGAATCAATCAGTTTTATTATTCAGATTCTCCAGTGCCACCACCACATGGTTGTGCAGTCTGGCACTACAATTAATTATATTTCTGGTTTCATACAACAAAGTCCAAATTTGTGCTCAAATTTTAACATTGTCGACATCTATATCATCTAAGCATGTAAGGCAAAATAATAACAAAAAACATTTACTCTACAGAATTAACAATAATCTGAGCAAGACCTAATCCAAACTTGCCAGTGTGCAAATTCTTTGTTCTTTTCCGTATATTAATTCCTAGAACACAAAGAACAACCAATGCTTTATATGTTTATTCCAAACTTCACCAAAAATAAGGTTGTACGAAAACATCAGAAAAAATAGGGTGGACACGGCACACAAGCACACAACAAAAACTCGTTTCTTGCCAGATATGAAATTGTGGGTAACACGCTGAACCACTAACATGGATCTTGTTTCCATGGCCTAAACATGCCAGCTCCGATCATCGAAGCTTTAACTTGTGATTCGCAAGGGTGCCCACCAAAGCAAACACCTGATTAAATACAGGCACTCCGCAGCAAAAAATGCTAGGTTAGCAATCCATTAAATAATGGCTTTGGTAAGCAATTATGCCAAGATCCACCATCAGACTAAACTGGACTGCTGGTTCTTGTTGCCAATTGCTGGAACATAATAATGTGATGGCCTATCTTAGGGACAGTGGACACATAACTCAATGTACTAAACATGAGACGACTTTAGGGTTCCAATCTCTATGCTTGTGCTTAAAAAATCTCAAGGCATAGCAGACAGCATCTCGGAGATGTAATTGCATGATTCTTCATGTCTACCAATCAAATGCTGCTGCTTGTTCATTTCTGTATAAATAGGGCTCAGCAGAGCAGTAGAGACATCAAACCAAGAAGTGTTCTTTTCTTCAACTCTTCATCAACCCCAATATATACAGAGAAAAGCTTCAAGCTCAGATATGGCTTTCCACCAAAGATCGATAAGTTTGCCTTCTAGGCCTCACGTCAGTGAGACCCAAGTCGAGCAAGAGCTCCACGGCCTAGAAGCAAGCATCTCTTCCTCCAATTCCATCAGCATGATGTGCGATGGTCTCAGGAGTCTTGCAAACATCTACGATGGTCTTGAAGAGATTATTTGCCTACCAAGCCACCAAGTTTTCTCATCCCAGCAGAGGAACATGTTGGATGGAGAAATGGAAGTTTCTCTCGAGCTACTAGATCTCTGCACCGCCATGCAAGAGATCTTCGCCGAGATGGTGGTCATCATCCAAGAGCTGCAAGTGGCTCTAAGAAAAGGAGATGATGCAGCTGCTCAAGCCAAGATCCAGTCTTTTGCTCGCTTGGCGAAGAAGGCCAGGAAACATTTCAAGAAGACTGCCAAGAAGGCTGCATCCAACAAGATGGTCATGCTATTGACCGACGCAAGAAAGATCTGCATCTCTCTGCTGGAGTCCACACTCCATCTCTTGTCAAAGCAAATTGAAATGCCGAAGCAGTCTCTTGTCTGCAAGGCATTTTACAAGAAGAAGGCCGTTGTTTGCGAGGAGCAATTGAAGGAGTTAGAGTGCAGCATTGGAGATCTTTAGAATGGAGCAGGAATTCTGTTCAGGAAATTAGTCCAGAACAGAGTTTCTCTTTTAAACATGCTTAGCTCATAAATACTCCACATCACTCTACTCCCGGCGATTGGCATCCGCCTTTTTGAGGATGAGCCGATCTTGATACAGTTTTCCCATGTGTATAGTATACATACAGAAATTATAGAAGCAAAGACTAAAGTTTTGATCCATATCAGATTTTGCGATACTGATAATAATCTCTTGGGGCTTTGTGATGAATATATGCATGACAAATACTCCCTAAAGTTAGTACAAAGTTGAGTCATCTATTTTGGAACGGAGGGAGTAGCAATGTGTATGATGTTAATCCATCATGTATCTGTTAGGTTCTGTTAATTGGGTTTTGGTTACAAGTTACAATTTTGTGGTAAATGATAACAACAATGATATTAGACCTACCATAAAACTAGTAGGTTATTGGTTGCATTAGACCTACCATAAGATTCATGATTAGCCTTATTTTGTGGATCTCACTTATCATGCATGGGACACGCCAGGTGGAAGCCACATGGTTGATGGTTGTACTTGCACATAAATCAACTAGCCAGATTCACTTCATAGTTGCAAATGCTGGCTTCATATGCTCAATTAATATTTAGGTATATATCTACACATTTATTCAGATGATAAAGCTTTCATTTCTGATAAAATCATAAAACTATTGATGATGGGTAGATCAAGTGGAAAAATCAAATCTAAATGTTCTTAGTAACAAACAATAATCCATATTCGCAAATGAAAAAATGAGTATGATGGTATCTTCAACATAATTTTATTTTGTATTTAATACTAGGAGATAAATACTGGATTGAGCATTATAGATTTCTGAGATGGCATGTCTTAATGTTAACACCAAAAATATCTCTTGTAAAAGGGAAATATTTTGCATCATCAAAGCATGGTAGATACACTTCGGTAATATATTTTGATCTCTTTCTTACCCCTTCTTACATTGTATAGGAGCGCCACAAAGGATGTTAGCAGAACCAGATAGCACAGCCTGGAACAACATGCTGATGAAGTCAATGACTCCTTACACCACCAACCACCCTGGGGGTGCAGATGGGTTTGCCACTAACAATGAAACACGCTGTAGCATATGCCAGCGGCAAAGCATGGAGAGGACAGTCATCGTGTAACGCTGATGCACATGCATGCATGATCAAGCTATCTGGATCCAACACGAAAATTGTTCCTTGTGTGTGAGTTTGTCTCCAATGATCAAGACGCGTTCGACAGGCCCATATACCCATTCATAGATGTATGAAACGATAAGATAACAGCAGAGCAGCATAAACTTGCCTTGAAGATGGGTGACAAACTCTCAGGACATAGACTGACAGGATTCCAGTTGTCTGTAGGTAGCAAGGTGTGTAAGTGCTTCTACTTCTGCACTATATATGAGGGTAGCAAAATGTGCGTACTGGGGTAGACACCGTCCAAGAACTGCGCTTGGTTCTCAAAAGAGGAGACACTGAAGCTTTGAGGTCAATATTCAGTCATACACGGTACACTCAATTAGTAAAGAAAGCACAAAAACAGTTCAGGTAGATCGGGAAGATGGTTACACCTGTTACTGAGGACCGAAGGGTGATCAGGCTACTTGCAACAGCGAAGAAAATTACAGTCTTGTTGCTTCAATTCTACACAGTGGCTCTTGTCAAAGCAACTTGTCGTCCGAAAGATTGGCGGGTGTTCGTTTTTCTCAACGCATTCCGTAGCTGAAGAGTAGCAATTGCGGGCACTTGAGTCGGACATTGTTAATCCGGTGAGCGGAGTTGACGTTCTGTTCAAGAAATTGATCCAGAACAGAGTTTTTCTGCTGAATACTCATAGCTTATAGATAAAGGTACATACTCAGATCCAATACCCTGTGGTTGGCATCCGGCGTTTGCAGGATCTATGTATAAAATGGAAAAATTACTCAACTCTGATGCTGTTCAGTTCGTTGGTTTACATACATAGTTCAGACACGCTAGCCCGCTAACCCGAAGGCATGAGGTTGTTATGCTTCTTCTTTTTTCAGAACTATGAGGTTGTTATGTAATTCACATGAAATGTGCCTCAAACACATGCTCCTTGTAATAATATACTGGAGTATCGCTCCCTATAATTAATAGAATATCAGTTGCAGAAGCAACTAAAATTTGCATATCAAGCAGGTGCCACCAGATAAACCTCCAAAGCTAAGCCAGCTGTTCCTTTCATCAGCAATCAGCAACCAGCTCCTTATCTCTCATCGTTTCACTATAATCATCGATCTCATGATCTTCATCTGAAACCAAACTACACGCTCGTGCAGATGAGTTTGCTGCTAATAATTCTGACATGACAGCCTGATGATAATATGTTGAACCCCTAACATGGATCTCGTGCAGTGGATCTTGCTCCCATGGCCTAAACATGCCACCTCCGACCTCGAGGCTTTGACCTGTGATTTGCAAATGTGCCCACCAAGGTATGTCACAGCTAAATGCTAGGTTAGCAACCCATAAAATAATGGCCTGAGCATGCAAGAAAGATCCACCATCAGACTAAACTGCGGTGCTGGTTCTTGCTGCCAATTGTGTGGACAGTAGCACAAAACAATGTACTAAACATGAGACGACTTTAGTGTTGCGATCTCTATGCTCCTCACAGATCTCAAGGCATAGCAGGCAGCATCTGGGAGATGTAATGGTGTGATTCTTCATGTCTACCAATCATATGCTGCTGCTTGTACATTTATGTATAAATAGGCCTGAGAAGAGCAGTAGACACATCAAACCAGAAGTGTTCTTTTCTGCTCCTCCTCTCTTCAACCACAATAC